GTGAGATTCCAAATCGATTAGAGAGAAGATGAAACATTTCTTATAAGGGTGTGGAAACGTCTCCCTAGTAGACTGCCAGCGAGGACGCTGGAAAACCTCTCCATAGTGATGTGTTTTAAAACCATGAGGCTGACGGCTATACGTAAGGAGCCAAAGCAGACAACATCTACTAGTGGTGGGCTCAAAAAACTTTAAATAATTGGCTGGAATAGCTCAGTTGGTTAGAGGGTGTGGATGATCCCACATACACGAGAGGTAAGCTTTATACGCTTGAATAACGTCGTGTGTCGTCAGAATCCAGATTCAATTTTTAGGTTTTAAGAAGCTCATAGATGTGTCGTTTTAGGCATCTACAAGCCACGAGACTTCGTGAAAGAGAAGCAGAGAGTCCAATAAAGAGTTATAGGAGGAAAACGATGAGAAAGAACAATAGAAATGTTTGGTTTTATGTCATAAAACTCATAGTTTGTAAACAAAAACATATTCTATTTTCAATAAAGTTATTATTGATGTTTATTCAGTAAAGATTGTTATTGAATAAAGTAAATTTTACGATCATTAATCTAAAAAGATGATCATAGTTTAGCTTTTTTCTTCACTCTCTTTGGCTTATTATTTATATCTCTAAACATCACCATTTATTGTAACTAAATTAAAGGTAAAAAGAAGATTTAAGAAGTTCACATTTCATTTAATGATATAACCCAACCCAACTATGGTTAACGTAAAAGTCATTCGTATACACAACAATTTGTATTGTATCAAAAGGGGATTTGAACCCACACCCTCTCACATGGACCAAAACTTGAGTTAGGTGCCTTAGACCACTCAACCATCCTAACTACTTAATAATATATCCCACATTGATTGGAGAAGGGAATGAACCATTCCTTATAAGGGCGTGGAAACCTCTCACTAATAAACGTGTTTTAAAACTATGAGTCTGACGACGATCCATAACTGGCCAAAATGGAAGATATCTGCTAGCGATTGGAGAGGGTGAGGAAGCATCTCTTTTAAGGGTGTGGGAAAATCTTCCTAGTAGACGCATTTTAAAACCGTGAGGCTGGTGGTGATACATAATGCACCAAAGTGGACAATATCTGCTAATGGTGGGCTTGAGATATGATATCAGAGCTAGTCACCAGGCGATGTGCCAGCGAAGACGCTGGGCCCCCAAGAGGGTGGATTGTGAGATTCCAGATCGGTTCAAGAGAAGATGAAACATTTCTTACAAGTGTGTGGAAACCTCTCCCTAGTAGACTGCCAACAAGTACGCTGGGAAACCTCTCCATAGTAGATGCGTTTTAGAACTGTGAGGCTGACGACGATACGTAACGTGCCAAAGCAAACAACATCTACTAGTGCTGGACTCGGAGAATTTTAAATTATTGGCTGGAATAGCTCAGTTGGTTAGAGTGTGTGGCTATTAACCACAAGGTCGGAGGTTCAAACCCTCCTTCTAGTGTTGGTGATCATTTGTTCTTTATAAGTGTCTTGATAATATTATTGTCTTACATATTCTATTGAATCATAACCCTTGAATTGTGTTATAAGATATAAGATGTTGAACACCACATTCCATCGAACTTCTCAATTCCAATCTTCTTTTATTCCATCCACATTCCATCGAACTTTTCAATTCCAATCTTCTTTGAACTTTCCATCGTGTTATAAGATGTTGAACACCAAACTTCTCAATTCCAATCTTTGAACTTTCCATCTTCACAGATCGTGGTAAATTTTGCCTTACCAATTGTTAGAATCGCATAGGAACTTGCACACTCGATCTAGATGAACCCAAAGAACAAGAAAAAGAAGATGCCTTGTGCTTCCACTGCTTTGTGGTCATGGTTGGTTCGTGAAGACCTCGGATCCTTTCCATCTTGATGGTGGTGAATTTCACCTTGTTAGGATCACACTACACACACACACTCGTAAGAGAATGCAAGAAAGAAACAGTGAGTCCAACAAAGAGTTAAAGGAGGAAAACGATGAGAAAGAGACAAAGATCCATTAGTTCGACCCAACACAACACAATTATAATAGCCAATCTATTTGTCAAAAGTGAGATTTGAACCCACGCCCTCTCACGAGGACCAAAACTTGAGTTTGGCACCTTAGACCACTTGGCCATCCTAACAACTTATTAATAAATCCCACATTGGTTGAAGAGGGGAATGAATCATTCCTTGTAAGAGTGTAGAAACCTTTCACTAATAGACGTGTTTTAAAAGTGTGAGGCTGACGACGATCCAAAATAGGCCAAAAAGGAAGATATATGCTAGCGGTTGGAGAGGGTGAGGAAGCATTGCTTTTAAGGGTGTGGAAAAATCTTCCTAGTAAACGCATTTTAATACCGTGAGGCTGATGGTGATACGTAATGCGTCAAAGTGGACAATATTTGCTAATGGTGGGTTTGAAATATGGTATTAGAGCTAGTCACAGGCGGTGTGCCAGCGAAGACGTTGGGTCCCCAAAGGGGTGGATTGTGAGATTCCAAATCGGTTGGAGAGAAGTTGAAACGTTTCATATAAGCATGTGGAACCTCTCTTAGTAGACTGCCATCAAGGACGCTGGGAAACCTCTCCATAGTAGATGCGTTTTAAAATCGTGAGGCTTACGACGATAAGTAATGAGCCAAAGCAGACAACATCTACTAGTACTGGGCTCGGACAATTTTAAATAACTGGTTGGAATAGCTTAGTTGGTTAGAGCGTGTGACCTTAACCACAAGGTTGGAGGTTCAAACCTTCCTTTATAGCTTTACTTGATATAGCTCTCTACTATTACAAAACTCACACCTATAATGACCAAACTCGACGTTGAAACGTTTGGTTCACGACACAAAAAAGACCATCGACGATCCAACATACACGAGATTCAATTTTTAGTTTTTAAGAAGTTCATAGATGTGTCGTTTTTGGCATCTACAAGCCACAAGACTTTGTGAAAGAGAAGTAGAGAGTCCAACAAAGAGTAGACGAGGAATCGGTCGAATCTAGATCCGAATCCGGATCTGGGTTAAACTCAAACCCACCATCGACGATCCAACATACACGACAGGTAAGCTTTATATATGCTTGAATAACGTCGTGTGTCGTCAAAATCCAGATTCAATTTTTAGTTTTTAAGAAGCTCATAGATGTGTCGTTTTTGGCATCTACAAGCTACAAGACTTCGTAAAAAAGAAGTAGAGAGTCCAACAAAGAGTTAGAGGAGGAAAACGATGAGAAAGAATGTTGGAAATAGCCATAGAGAGGAAAGAGATGAAAAACAGAAAATCGCGTTGAGTCGGGCGAATAAGACGAATCTATCGAATCTAGATCCGAATCCGAATCTCGGTTAAATTCAAACCCACAACCCACTGCCAATCCATTGGTTCGGTCCAACACACACTCACGACCCAATTATAATAGCCAACCCAACCCAATGTTTGCAGCCAAGCTCAGCAGCCTAGCACCCACGATCCCACGTCTACCCATCCAACCCGCAACGCCTGCAGCCGAAAACCTGACAGTCCATGGCGAAGCCCAATTACTTAAGACCCATCTGCAATAGCCCAGCACCCATGCCGCGACCAAGTAATCGTCCCTTGACCCACACGTCGACCCAATTTAGCCTGCACAAGGTTCAGCGCCTTATTGCGCCACACGTCAACTTACAACAAAAAGAACCCCTCGACTTCACAGCTCAGCATGGCTGCACATAGTCCTTATGCTTAAAACGCTCGGTTTGCCTATTCTAACATTGACTCCTACAATTTTTTACCCTCTCGAAGCTAATTTGACCAAAATTAAGATAAATAAGGCCAATATGATGCACTATTTCATGAATTCAAGTTCAACTACATTATAAATGTGAAATGTTAATGAAATGAAATGAACGCTATAATAGGAAACGACAAACGGTAATGTTTGGAGAAACTTCGAGGAACGAAAGCTTAGCAAATCCGAAAGTAGAGAAATGCTGGCGAAGGCCAACCAAGTAAATAGCCTTACTACAGGATAGAGTAGGCAATTGTTTGATGTATGACAACACGTGCCTAGTTGCACTGACACGTGTCCTTTATTCTTTATTAATATGATGCTTGACATATGATGTATGATGATGTGTATGAGTTATATGATTACGTTTGATGATGTGTTGATGATGTATGCTAAAACGATGATCATAATTTAGCTTTTTTCTCTTTTTCTTATTATTTATATCTCAACCTCACGATTTATTGTAATTAAATTCGAAAAGGTAAAAAGATTTCTAAAAAGTTCTTATCATTTCATGATAACAACCCAACCATGGTAATAAGTAGATGTTTTCCATTTTTGCTAGCCCATTAGAGTAACACAATAATTTTAATTGTGACAAAAGTGGGATTTGAACCCATGCCCTCTTACAAGGACCAAAACTTGATTTTGGCACCTTAGAACACTCAGTCATCCTACAACTTTTTAATAGATCCTACGTCGGTTGGAGAGGGGAATGAACCATTCCTTATAAGAGTGTGGAAACCTCTCTTAATAGACGCATTTTAAAACTGAGGTTGATGGTGATCCATAAGAGGCCGAAATGGAAGATATCTGCTAGTGGTTGGAGAGGGTAAGGAAGAATTTCTTTTAAGGGTGTGGAATAATCTTCCTAGTAGACACATTTTAAAACCGTGAGGCAGATGGTGATACGTAATGCACGAAAGTTGACAATATTTGCTAGCGATGATCTTGAGCTGTTATAAATGGTATCATAGTTAGTCACCAGGCAGTGTGCCAGCGAAGACGCTGGCCCCCAAGAGAATGGATTGTAAGATCCCAAATCGGTTAGAGAGAAGATGAAACATTTCTTATAAGAGTGTGGAAACTTCTCCCTAGTAGACTGCCAAAGAGAACGCTGGAAAACCTCTCCATAGTAGATACATTTTAAAACCGTGAGGCTGACGGCTATGCGTAACAAGTCAAAGTAGACAACATCTACTAGTGGTGGGCCCGAAAAATTTTAATTAACAGGCTGGAATAGCTCAGTTGGTTAGAGCATGTGGCTCTTAATCACAAGATCAGAGGTTCAAACCCTTCTTCTAGTGAAGGTAATCAAGTGTTCCTTAAGAGATTTTAAGGAATTTGAAGCATATTGACAATACCTATAAACCCTTCTTCTAGTGAAGGTAATCAAGTGTTCCTTAAGAGATTTTAAGGAATTTGAAGCATATTGACAATACCTATAAATATGTTGAACACCACGACGCTAGATAGCGTCAATCGAATCGATCCTAATATATGTCGATCCTTGAGCTTCCATTGCTTCATAGTCATGGTAAAGATAATCTTCCTACCAATATATATAGCTTTATACGCTTAGAGAAATGTTTGGTTAGATAATAGATAATCTTCCATAACCATCTACCATTATATAGCTTTCCCACTTTATGTCATTTAGCATATATATAGCTTTTCTCTTCATAGTCATGGTAAAGATAATCTTCCTACCAATATATATAGCTTTATACGCTTGAGAAATGTTTGTTCATAGTCATGGTAAAGATAATCTTCCTACCAATATATATAGCTTTATACGCTTGAGAAATGTTTGGTTAGATAATAGATAATCTTCCATAACCATCTACCATTATATAGCTTATACGCTTGAGAAATGTTTGGTTAGATAATAGATAATCTTCCATAACCATCTACCATTATATAGCTTTCCCACTTTATGTCATTTAGCATATATATAGCTTTTCTATGTATAATCGTCAACTAAGCTATAAATAAGCAGTAGACTCCATGATATGAACCAAGAGACATCATTCATACAATATACTTCAATGAAGATGTGAGATTAGAGTAATTTAGAGTTATTGTATTTTAAGACATTTTATTTACTTTAGGTTACATTTACATAATGGCTAATTATGGTCATTAAGTATGAATGTTACAAATTTTGGGTGGGTTACAAGTGTTTGAGATATTTGATCAACAAGAATCATTCAAGCTAGACATGATCAATCTTGCTTGTGGAGTGATTCGAATCTCAATCAAGCGTTCTTCTTGCCTTGAGATATTCGATCAACAAGGTAATCCGAATCTTATTCCCCTTGTATTGATTCCTTATCTTATCACTACATAACCTAGAACTCACACCTACAATGACCAAACTCGACGTTGAAACGCTTGGTTCATGACACAAAAATACCACCGATGATCTCACATACACGAGAGGTAAGCTTTATACACTTGAATCACGTCGTGTGTCGTCGACATCCAGATTCAATTTTTAGGTTTTAAGAAGCTCATAGAGGTGTCATTTTAGGCATCTACAAGCCACGAGACTTCGTGAAAGAGAAGCATAGAGTCCAACAAAGAGTTACAGGAGGAAAACGATGAGAAAGAACATCAGAAATGTTGGGTTTTATGTCATAAAACTCATAGTTTGTAAACAAAAACATATTCTATTTTCAATAAAATTATTATTGATGTTTATTAAGTAAAGATTGTTATCGATTAAAGTAAATTTTACAATCATTAATCTAAACCAAATAAACTAAGAACACTCTGGCTATAGTATGATTACTTGAACTATACGTAGAGACATAAGAGTGGATCAAGTTCAAGTATATAGTCAAAATGATCTATAGTACAGGGATAAGGCTGAGTATCTTATCTTGGGGACACTATTGATGCGGCCCACTTTTATATATCATATAAACAATGTGATCACTAAATTGTACATGTGGAACATGTGAGTTGGGCCGTCCTATGCAATGAGTATAGCATAAGATCAGACAATGAAGAAAATCACTCTCACTTTATAATGTCGTTTATTATTGATACTTATTTTTTCATTCAATGTCCTAGGTAACTCGATCTTAATCCTGAGTTTACTATGAACTCTTGTTTATTTGAAATTATCCTTAGATTTTTATGAGTGAGAATGGCTCGAGTTCGCCGACTCAATAAGCCTCCAATTTCAGGGGTAAGACTAAGTGAATAGCTGGGGACATAGGGTGCAAGATGAAATTCACTCCTACCCACTTGTAGAGATAGTAGAGAGATTGTTCCCTTAAGTACTGACTTCATGTCTTGAACAAGGGGTCACACCCTCTCATTGGCCTAAGAGGGATTCGGTTTACTGGTTGGACCACAAACCAATTGTTCATCAGAGGATCAGTGGGACATAAGGAACAAGAAGTAACTTCAGGGGTAAAATGGTAAATTGACCCATCTCTAGTTACAAACAACCTGTGAAGGATCGACTTACTAATCATGGTTATATCAAATGGATAGAGATATATCTATAGTGAGGGGAGTGTAACTACTAGGCTATAATGGAGTGTCCTAGTAGTTAACGAATGTTAGTTAACAAGGTTAATGAGTTTACCTGGTTAATCTCAGATCGTTGGAGCCTATGATCTATAGGTCCATTAGGTCCCCCTGCTAGCTCATATGAGACTAATCCATATAACAATGTGACGAGTGAGTTCGAAGTGTTCGAATTCAAATTAGGGAATACGCATTAAATACATACGATATATTTAACCACATTTTTATTTTAATTACGAATTAAACAAAAAGAGAAAATTTGAGATATTTAAATAAGATTTAAATATTTTAATTATGAATAGGGATTCATAATTAATATGTGCTGAAATTGATTGGGATTGACATTTGAATTAATGTTAAATATTAATTAAAATGTTTAATTAATCATTTAATATTACTTTAATTTAAAATTAATTATTGAATTAAAACGGAGAAAGTCAAAAGGTTGACTTCACATAATGGAAAAGTCCTAGTTTGAGTGGAATATTGAGTGTCAATATATGGTTTAACCAAACTTCATGTTTGTCACATAATTCAACAAATTTGAGTGGAATTTTGAGTGTAAAAATTTGGTAATCTCAAATTTGCATGAGCATTCAAATATAACTCTCTCTTCACGTATACTAAATCCCTTCTAAGATTAGTCACTCAACAGATTCCACAATCCCGGTCTAACGCCGGAAAATAGTAGGGAAGACACTAGTGGTGGTTCGAAACCAGTTCCTGAAGAAAAAAGAATTTGAACTACAGAAGTTTAGTACTCAAACTCCTTGAGTTTTAATGCTTATAAACATGCATGCTAATTTACTATAATCGACGTACTTAGAGTGCCTAAGATCCAAATTACTTCCGCATGTGTTATATTAACACCATCAAGAAATAGCCGCAGAGAGGAGAGAGATGAAAACTAGAAAATTGCGCTGAGTCAGGTGAAGAAGACGAATCCGTCGGATCTAGATCCGAATCCAGATTTGGGTCAGACTCTAACCCACAACCCACTACCAATCGATTGGTTCGGTCCAACACTCGCTCACGACCCAATTATAATAGCCAACCCAACCCAACGTCTACAGCCTAGCTCAGCGGCCCATCACCCGCGATCCCACGTCTGCCCATCCAACCCGCAACGCCTGCAGCCCAAAACCTGACAGTCCATGGCAAAGCCAAATTACTTAAGACCTATAGGCAACCGCCCAGCACCCAGCCTGCACACGCGTCAGCGCCTTATTGCACCACACGTCAACTTGCAGCAAAAAGAATCCCTCAGCTTCATAGCTTAGCTTGGCCGTGCCTAGTCCTTAGGCTTAAAATGCTTAGTTTTGGAATTATGACACCGACCCCTACGTTTTTTACCCTCCCGAAGCTGATTTGACCATAATTAAGATAAATAAGGTTAATATGATGCATTATTTCATGAATTCAAATTATACAAGATTATAAATATGAAATGTTCATAAGTAAGATAGATAAGGGCAGTATGATGCACTATTTCATGAATTCAAGTAAAACTACACTAATGTGAAATGTTAATGAAATGAACGCTCTAATAGGAAACCCACTGATAACGTTTGGAGCAACTTCGAGGAACGAAAACTTAGCAAATTCGAAAGTAGAGAAATGCCAGCTGAGGCCAACAAAGTAAGTAACCTTACTATAGGATAGGCTAAGTTTGATGTATGACAAAACGTGCCTAGTTGCACTGACATGTGTCCTTTATGCTTTATTAATATAATGTAGGACATATATTGTATGATGTATTGATTGACGATGCCTGCTAAAATGATGCTCATAGTTCACATCACCTTCGAAAGGTAAAAGATCTCATAAGTTCATATCATTTGATGCTAAATAAAGATATTTTTAAACAAAAACACCACCCCCAACCATGGTGGTAGTAGTACATGTTATCCATTTTAGCAAATGCTTATAACAATAATTTGAATTGTGTCAAAAGTGGGATTTGAACCCATACCCTCTCACAAGGACTAGAACTTGAGTTTGGCGCCTTAGACCACTCGGCCATCCTGACTACCAATTAATAGATCTCACATTGGTTGGAGAGGGGAATGAACTATTCCTTATAAGGGTGTGGAAACATTTCGCTCATAGACGTGTTTTAAAACTTTGAGACTAACGGCGATCCATAACAGGCCAAAATGGAAGATATCTGCTAGTGGTTGGAGAAGGTAAGGAAGCATTTCTTTTAAGGGTGTGGAATAATCTTAAAACCGTGAGGCTGATGGTGATACGTAATGCACCAAAGTGGACAATATCCGCTAGCGATGGTCTTGAGCTGTTACAAATGGTATCATAACTAGTCACCAGGCAGTGTGCCAGCGAAGACGCTGGTCCCCCAAGGGGGTGGATTGTAAGATCTCAGATCGGTTAGAGAGAAGATGAAACATTTATTATAAGAGTGTGGAAACCTCTCCCTAGTAGACTTCCAACGAGGACGCTGGAAAACCTCTCCATAGTAGATGCGTTTATAAACCGTGAGGCTGATGGTTATACGTAACGAGCCAAAGCAAACAATATCTACTAGTAGTTGTCTCAGAAAATTTTAATCAACTAGCTGGAATAGCTCAGTTGGTTAGAGCGTGTGGCTGTTAACGATAAGGTCGGAGGTTCAAACCCTCCTTCCAGTGATGGCAATTAAGTGTTCCTTACGATTTGTCGAGTATCCAACTTTTACCCCCAACAAGGGGTCGGAGGTTCAAACCCTCCTTCTATCTAGCGATGACAATCAAGTGTTCCTTACGATATA